TGTGTGTACAGAGAACGTCTCTTATCTGTGGAGTGTGTGTGCAGAGAACATCCACCATGACTGTGAGGTGTGCGCTCTGTGTACAAAGGAGAACATCTGTCTTCACTTTGGTATGTGTGCTGCATGTACAAAGGTGAAACTCCACCCTCACTGTGGATTGTGTGTACTGTGTATACAGAGAAGAATAGCCACCATCACTGTGCACTGTTTGTACAGAGAATATCATCATTGTGGTGTGCTGTGTGTGCAGAGAAGAATGCCTGTCTCTTGTTTTCATTTGCTGTATATGTGGGGACAAAAACGTTCTGCATCACCGTGCAGTTGGTGCTGTGTATCCAGATGAAAACATCTATTATCACAATGAAATATTTTTACTCTAAGAGGATAATATCCATACGGAGTGTATCTTTTAATATGACTTCTCAAACCCTCATGCAATATTTTTATGCAGACGGGTGAGACTATGAGCATGGGGCATGTTGATCTATCCACAAGGGATTGCCTATGTACCATTCTACAGGGAGATTGGCCAGTCTCATCAACCTCCAAGAGGATTGACTAATGTAGTCAATAAATGGAAAAGCTCTAAGTGCAGAGATGGAATCTTCCTTCACCAGAACAAAGAATTCTTCTCCCAGCCAGAGAAAAATCTTCCTCCACCTTGGTGAAATAGAGGTCACACTCCGTGACGGTTCCAGCAGTGATGTCTGAACTGGAGCACTGATACGGCAATTTGGGGGAGGTGGGGAAGACAGTGGCAGGGCTGAGAATCTGGTTGGACAACCGCATGGAAAGCCAATATTGGCAGGACTCTGAACTTGGGAACAATTATAGCCATGAGCTCAGTGCACATTTTTTGAGCTACCTTGACTGTATTCTGCTGTTAGTCTGGATCTTTTGAGCCCCCAAAATGGGTCTGTGTGGTCTGTAAGCTATCACAGTAGATTTTTGACCCAGTAAAGCAGTAAGATTTGTGTTGAGATAAGTATAAGGGTAATAGGAGTGTGGGAGACATGTTTGATCTCATGGGAATTGCATTGTTATGTACCATCAAATTGCCTGTAACTCAGTGACGCTTTGTACAGTACCTCTGAAGCCTGCTCTGTTCTGAGCCAGTCTCATTCTGACACTCTAACCCCGATTGTCCCAGTTACTGTTATCAATCAGTCTCACCCAAGGTCTTCCTCTCCTTTACTGTCCTTCCACCTTTCAGAGCATGATGTCCTTCTCTAAGTACCACTGCATTCTGGACACATACCCAAAGTATGTGAGACAGAGCTTCATAATCCTAACCTCCAAGGAGAAACTTGGTTTCACCCTCTCCAAGATGGACCCAGCTGTTTTCTTGGCAGTTCACAGTATGTTCAATAATCTTCTCCAGCACCACAACTCGAAGTCATCGATTCTTCTGTCATCTTTGGCCATTGTCCAGCTCTCTGATGCATAGCAAGAAATTGTGAAGATCATGGCCTGGATCAGGCGCACCTTAGTCTCTAGATGGACATCGTTGCTTTTCAGTACTCTGGAGAGGTACCTGACAGTATATTTTCCCACTGCAATTCATCTTTTGATTTTCTGACTGCTGATGTCAAGAGTGTTGAAGCACAATCAATAAGATTGCATCTAAATTCCAAAATCAATCTCCATAATAGTCTATGTGTTTCCTACTGCCAAAGGGGCCCTTTAGAGTAGTGAGAGAAGATCTTCACCCTGAAACCCACAGCGTCCCTTTTCAGCAGGAAGTAGCTAAGAGAATACGCCATCCCCTTTTCCTTATGACTCAGGGTGAAGTCTCTCTCAGGGAGGAGTGATAGGGAATGGCAAAGGACACACTGACAAAGAAGATTAATCAGAACTGGCTTTGACAAGCACTGTGGCATTTGGACAAGAACAAACTGGGAGGAGGGTAGAGAGAATAGTGCAACAATGAATGAATGGAAACCCAAAATCTCTGTAAATGTTTATGAAAATTAATAAAATATAATTCTAGAAAAAAAAGAGTGTTGATTGTGGAGCCGAGCAAGCTATAATTATTAACAACCTCATCTCTTCTCCATCCATCATGGTGCTTCCAATTGGCCCAGTGGTGAGAATCAATCTTTGTCTTCTTGTTGTAATTGTTGAAATTGGTTTTGTGTTATTGATGTCGATGAGGACAGTTTTCCTCTATGAAGTTGATAGAGACGAGATATGGTGCTGCCCACATCGTAGCCCCTGCTCTTTTTACATTCCATCATCACTGTTGAGTGTGGACTGTGTGTCCAGAAGAGAACATCAACCATCACTGTGGAGTGTACAAAGGAGAGTGTCCATCATCACTGTGGAGGGTGTGCTGTGTGTACAGACAACGTCCACCATCACTGTGGTGGGTGAATGGTGTGTGTGTTTCAAGGAGAACATTTGTCCAGCACTTTCAGTTCTGTTGTTCGATGTGTGCAGAGAACACTCAAGCATCACTGTGTATCGTGCCCCATGTGCATCATCTGTGCATCGCGTGGAGTCTGTACCTGAGCTGCGTCCTCGCCACACAGCACCTGCCAGGCATGCTTCCTGTACTGCTCTGTCTTTTGCTCGAATGGCTCTCCCAAACGCAAAGTATTTGGACCCAGCACAATGTATTAGAAAATGTACATACTTTATAAACCTCAGGACGGGGGTAGTAATTAAACATGACAATCAACCCCATTCTTGATGACAAAGCCAAGATTGCAAGCTACCCCAACTCCAAGGTCACAAATGGCCACTAGTTCCTCTGTCCAGTGGAGGGTGATGAGTTTCTCAACTCCTTCCTCAAATACAGGTTCAGCCAGGCAGGTGTGACCTTGGCACTCACTCTCCACTGTACTGTTTTGACCAATAAGAAAGAAATGTGAACAAGCCAGGAATTGTGGCTCTGGAAGCCTGTCCCCAGACACCCTCTTTTTTCTCTGGAACTACAGGTGGAACCTTCCCTTGACACTTCCGTTTTCACGATGGCCACTGTGTGGGCCAGATCCACGTAACTAGTGCCCCTGGTCCCATGGCACTGGCCATTTCTCTGCATGACTGAGACCTGTCTAGGTGCCTTCCTGCACTTTCCACCCTAGATTCAAGGTACCCCAGGAAGCAGTTCCCACCCCATGTCCCATGCCCTCCTCATGCGCCCGTGAACATGACAGGCATGTGCTCACAGATGTCACCTTTAGTGCTGGGGACAAGCCACCCAGATCACAGAGAGCCTTGAGTAGAGGCCCTCTAGCATGACAGCCTCACGCTGCACTTAGGAGCACATGTGTCTTCTCTCCTCACATGTGGCCTTTATGGAGCAAAGAAGCTTGTGACAGAGATGCCAGTGGCTCCAAACGTGTTCACGGAACACAGTTCTGTTGAAAGTGTCATGAAGGGGTCTCATAAGAGGAGGGGGATGGAGGGATGGTCTCCTGGTCCCCACGTATCCTCCATCTCCATACTTGTGCCTCAGGCCAGAGGCTCCCAAGGGGACTGCAGCTTCACCCAGGACGAGTGGTGTGGTGCTGGTTGAGAGATGAAGGTGATAGTGGCCCTGCTTAATGGAAGAGTGTGTGGCAGTGGTGGAGGGGGTGGTGGGAGAGGTGGTAATGGTGAAGGCACAGATGGAGGTGAGAGGTGGTAGTTTGGGTGGTGGGAGTATCTACATCCAAGGGTGAATAGTTTGGGTTGTAGTGATAATTACGTCAGCATGGGTGACAGTGGTGGTGGTGATGGTAGAGGTGGTAATGGTGAATGCAGTGATGGAAGTGATAGTAGTGGTGCATGGTGCTCATGGCTGTGGTAACAGATACGTCAGGATGGGTGGTAGTAGTGGTCATGGTGTCAGAATGGATGGCAGTGGTGGTGGTTGTGGAAATAGTTACGTGAGGATGGAGGGTAGTGGTTGTGGTGGTTACAGTTATGTCAGGATGGGTGGTATAGTGGTGGTGGTGGTGGATATAGTAATGTCAGAATGGGTGGTAGTGGTTGTGGTGGTTACAGTTATGTCAGGGTGGTAGTGGTGGTCATGGTGTCAGAATGGGTGGTAGTGGTATCAGGATGGGTGGTAGTGGTGGTGATGGTGGATATAGTTATGTCAGGATGGGTAATGTGGTAATGGTTACAGTTACATCAGGATGGATGGTAGTGATAATGGTGTGGTGGATACAGTTATGTCAGGATGGATGGTACTGGTGGTGTGGTGGTTTAGTTATGTCAGGATGGGTGGTAGTGGTGATAGATATAGTTACCTCAGATTGGATGGTAGTAGTGGTGGTGGTGGATATAGTTACATCAGGATGGAGGGGGTGGTGGCGGATATAGTTATGCCAGGATGGGCAGTAGGGGTGGTCGTGGTGTCAGGATGGGTGGTAGTGGTGGTGGTGGTGGATATAGTTACATCAGGATTCATGGTAGGTCATTGTATTGGGATGGATTGTAGTGGTGGTCATGGTGTCAGGATGGGTGGTAGTGGTGGTAGCAGTGGTGGTGGATATAGTTACATCAGGTTGGATGATGGTGGTCATGGTGTCAGGATGGGTGGTAGTGGTGGTGGTTGTGGACATAGTTACATGAGGATGGAGGGTAGTGGTAGTGGATATAGTCACGTCAGGATGGGTAGTAGTGGTGGTGGTGGTGTTGGTTGATATAGTTATGTCAGGATGGATGGTAGTGGTGGTCATGGTGTCAGGATGGGTGGTAGAGGTGGTAGAGGTGGTGATGGTAGTGGATATAGCTACATCAGGATGGGTGGTGGTGGTGGTCATGGTGTCAGGACGGGTGTTGGTGGTGGTGGTGTTGGTGGATACATCAGGATAGGTGGGAGTGGTGATCATGGTGTCAGGACGGGTGGTAGTGGTGGTCACGGTGTCAGGATGGATGGTAGTGGTGTTGTTGGTGGTGGATATACATCAGGATGGGTGGTGGTGGTGGTGGTCATGGTGTCAGGACGGGTGGTGGTGGTGTTGGTAGATATAGTTACATCAGGGTAGGTGGGAGTGGTGATCATGGTGTCAGGACGGGTGGTAGTGATGGTAGTGGTGGTGGTGGTGGTGTTCATGGTGGTGGTGGTGTTCGTGTCTTTGTACCACAGGCACCGTGAAGCCCTCTCCTGCCAGCGTAGGTGGCAGGTCCCGTACCACCTCATGTTCCACTGTGCAGGGTGTGGCGTATGTAGCCTTAAGTGGTGAGTGGCCCTCTCTTCCCTTCAGTCGAGACCTCTTGTGGCCATAGGGCTGTGGAGGTGGGGGTGGGGGCTGCAGTGGGAGATGGTGGCCATCTTGGGGTCCCTGGGGTGGTGCTGGAGGGTGGTGGATGAAGGTCTTGCCAGGTCTACTGCTCCCCAGCCCCACTGATGGCTTCCCCGCACCCTTGGGGGACTTGAGGAACTGCTTCTCTGGCATCTTCAGTCGTGGTAGCGCATCCACAGCTCGGCCAGCAAACTCTCCAGGCTCCGCCAGCACCTGGGACCGTCGGTGATGACCAGTGTGAGTGTCCGACTCCTGGGAGCGGGACCGGACCTGGGGGTGCAAACACTTGCTGGGGTGCTCCTGCTTTGGCTGCGCTGGTGGGGACCCTGCATAAAGCAGAGACAGACATGAGGTTGTGGATGCTGCTCCAGGACCAGCACCTGTCTGTCCTTCCACTCCTAGTAGGTCACTTGACAGAAGACCTTTGACACAGGGTCTGGGCTGGGAGCGCCTCTGATGTGTGGCTGCAAAAGGACTCCAGTGGAGGTCAGCTCCCGTCATGTCTGCAGATGGGACGCTGGCCACCCACCCTGCTGTGATAGCCTCATCCTGCCCTGTCCAGCAGTTTCTGGTCTGTTGGCCTACTCAAGGGGTCCTTCAGCAACGGTCACCATCCTGCCATCCCTTTCACAAGGAAAGTACATCATGGCCACGTGTCAGGAACTTTGGTGATCTCCACCCCAAGGGCCCCACCGAGGTCCAGGGCCTTCAATGAGGATTACTTGGAGCTGACTTGTTCTAAAACACGTCCCATTATAAAGTGATTTGTGTTTCCCCTCAAAACACGTATTAACATGACTTGGCTGTGATTCTCAGGTGTTTGGTAGTTAGATAATGACAAGGTTCGACAGTTACATTATCTGGATGTCTCTGCTGTGATTGGTCAATGCAACGCCCTTACTCAGATCACAGTCCGGACCCAATGGAAGAGGTGTTTCCTGGGGTGTGGCTTATATAATCTCTCATCTTACACGAGATATAAGGAGGCAGAAGGGAGCAGAGGAGGAACCCTCTCTCATGAATGAAGAGCAGGAGTGAGGTGTGTCCTTTGGACCTGGGTTACATCACTGTGAGTCTCCCAGAACCCAGGCAAGTTGACGTTGAGACAATGGAGATCTTCAGAGGACTCTGGTACCATGAACAATGAAAGCCGTTAAAGACCCCACCACTCGCCCAGGACAACCCAGAGAGGAAGCCTTCCTCCTGGAGTTGGGGCCCTGTTAGATACCTCGTGCTGCTGTAACAGAAATGCTCAGTGGTTGGCTTCAACAAAGACAGAGTTTGGTGGCTTCTCTACTAGATGCCTGGAATGTGGACGTCGGTTGGAAATTGGGTAATGAGGTCAAAGAGTTTTAAGCTTCTTTACACCAAAACCCTAGATTGCTTGGCTTTCTAGGATAGATTGCGTCTGAAAGCTGGACAATGAAAAAGGATGACAGAAGAATTGATGTCTTTGAGCTGTGGCGTTGGAGAAGAGCACTGAACATCCACGGACTGACTAAAGAACAGATGTGTCTTAGAGAAAGTGCAGCCAGACTGCTCTTTGGAGGCAAAGCCAATGAGGCTTCACCTCCCATACTTTGGACATGTTGCTAGGAGAGGGGCATGATGCTTGGAAAGATGGAGGGTCAGCACAAGAAAGGAAGACCCCTGACCAAGTGGACTGACACGGTGACTGAAGTGTGAGGACGGCGCCGGACAGGACAGGGTTCAGAGCCGTTGTTCACAGGGTCACCACGGGTCATACTCAACTTGACAGCATCTAACAGCATAACAACAGGGTGCTCTGAAAAGACGTTCGTGGGATGATGGACATCAAAGGACATTCTAGTGCAAGCTCAGAAACCCCAGAGACAATGCAGATAGTGGGAGCAGTGGCAGAGAAAAGGCACCAGCAGGGCCCAGAGGTGCTGGAAACAGCCCGAGAGTCTACCAGAGCGAGTGCTCTGTGCTCCAGGCAGCAGGCGTCCTGGTGGACAGCAGGCGTCCTGGTGGACAGCAGGCTTCCTGGTGGACAGCAGGCTTCCCTGTGGACTGCAGCCATGCTGTAACAGCCCACGAGTCTCCTAGAGGGAGGGCTCCGTGCTCTGGGCAGCAGGCGTCCTGGTGGACTGCAGGAGTCCTGGGCGACTGCAGGCGTGCTGGTGGAGTGGGCTTCCTCCAGGTACTGGTCCCTGGAGTGAGGCTTGCTGACTCGTGGGCTGAGAGCTTCAGGCCAGGCCTCACTGGCAGAGGGAGCACCTTCAGGCACTTGTTGAAGAGCTAAGAAGCTTCGTAACATTTGCCAGAGAAGAACAAAGACCAGGCTGATGCAAGAAGCCCAAGGGACTAAGAGGCCAAGAAATCCACAAGCATAAGAGGAACACAGAACAGAGTGACTTCAGCTTCAAAATGTGGGGCTGTGACCTCTGGGGTCTCAAAGGGTAGAGCCATGACATCTGGGGTCTCAGAGGGAGAGGCCATAACGTCTGGGGCTTCAAAGGGTGGGGCCATGACCTCTGGGAAGGTCCAAAGGGTGAGGTCACGACCTCTGGGATCTCAGAGAGTGAGACCACTGCCTCCTGGGTTTCACCACCTCAGGCCCAGAGTTCTAGATTAGGGCTGCCATCCACCAGAATTTACCAGAGGAACTAGCTAAAGCTGCTTCTCAAAGCCAAGGGAAAGGCTGGCATGCCCACGTGGCAGCACAGGTCTGCTGAGACTGAGGAAGTTGGTCTGGGAGCATGGAGTGTCCCGGGGCTGGGAGGGCCGGGTGAAGCCAGCGGCCCAGCGACCTCCACCCAGAAGCTGGAGGCCACAGTGAACACTCAGGTGTCAAGGGCTTAGATAGTGCTGTGTGGCAGGTGACTTATCATTTTAGATTCACAGGTGACAGGGACTTCCTCTCAGGACAGAGCTGGATCTTGGGGTTGATTTAAGACTTTGGGGAGAGTTATGTGACATAGCAAAAGTGTCATGCATGAGGCAAGGTCATGACTTGGAGGCCAAGAACTAGAATACTTTGAATTGTGTCCATTCAAAATATGTGTAACTTGGCTGGACGATGAATCTCTGGGGTCTGACAGTTCCATTATCCTGTAGTCATCCCCCATGACTGGATGGGGCCAGCCACAGAGTTATAAGGGGTTCAGGACGGCAGCAATGCGCTGACTCAGCCCGCACTCCTAATCCCGGATGAGGGGCACTTTCCCGGAGTGCGTCCTGCACCGTCTAACAAGAGCAACAAGGAGAGAGACGTGGAAGGAGACAGAGGACCTCAGCATCACCAAAAAAGCAAGCTGAGCACGGACGTGGGGTCACCGTGCTGAGAACTTCCTAGAATCAGGGAATGACTATTGCCCAATCACAGAGATCTCCAAGGAAGACAAGCCACAGGTACTGGAAGAAGCAAGGCCCTTCTTCCAGAGTGGACAGAAGCAGCAGGCCTCCCCCGGCCAGCCTGGGAGCCTCTAGCATACTGAACCGTGAGAGAATGGATTTCTGCCTCACAGCCACCCCCTTGTGGTATCTCTGTTACAGGAGCACCAGAGAACCAAGAGGAAGCTGCAAGCTGGCCTTCTCCCAAACGATCTTCACAGAGACTTCTGGACCGACTGGGGCAGCTGCTTTTATGAAGCACACAGGTCATGCCTTTGGGGGCACTGTCCACTGCTCAATAATGTCCAGCTGCAGGGCATGGGGAGCACATGCACCCACCCCACAACCCTCTGCTCTGGGACCTCAGTTTGGAAGGAGGAGGTGAAGACTCCTGCCCACGAGTGCCAAGCCCACACTTCCCACCTGGCATGCCTCCCTTGGAGGTCCTGACCATGCAGGGCTGAGTGTGTCCAGCACCCACCTGGTCCAAACTTGGAGGTGTAGTTCTCGATGCCCGCCAGGTCCAGATAGTGGTTCCTGCGCTCCGTGTTTTCATCCACACAGTAGGGGCCCCGCACGGGGTAGGGAACCGCGTCAGCCACTGGACGCCTGCATGGAGGAAGGTGAGGCCTTGAGGATACCATACGAGAGGGAGACACAGGGTGGTCAGTGAGTGAGCAGGGGCTACGCTGGGAGTCACGAGGATCCTGGTCCCAGGATGAAGGCTGCATTAGGACTAACATGGCTGCATGGACTAGCTGAGCCTGGACACGGCTGTGAGGGTCGACCAGGCCTGGACACATCTGTGAGGGCCGGCCAGGCCTGGACACAGGCTGTGAGGGTCAGCTGAACCTGGACATGGGCTGTGGGGACTGGTCAGGCCTGAGCATGGGCTGTGAGGGCCAGCTATGCCTCGACATGGGCTGTGAGAGCCGGTAAGGCCTGGATATGGGCTGTGAGGGCCAGCCAGGCCTGGACACAGACTGTGAACATCAGCTGAGCCTGGTCATGGGCTGTGAGGGCCAGCCAGGCCTGGACACAGGCTGTAAGAGTCAGCTGAGCCTGGACATGGCTGTGAGGTCAATTGAGCCTGGTTATGGGCTGTGTGTCCCAGAGCAGTGATGTCACAGCGTCACATTGTAACAAGAATGCAACAATACACTAATATTTATTTAATAATGTTTTAAAAGGGAGATGTATCCTTTTAACCTAGAAGGAAAACCAAAAGAGACCCCTATTTATCCTCTCAGACTAGAAGTCAAAATTGAGGAAGGCCTTATAGCATATGATCAAGGATTAGTCATGATAAGAGAAGTTCAAGCTGCACTGAAGGCAAAAATAAGACCCTAAGAATCTATAGGATACCAACTGATATGTTTCCAATAACAGACGCAGCCCTGGATGTGCTATCAGTCTATGCCAGGAAATCTGGAGGACAGTTGACTGCCTGACTGGAAAAGGTCCCTAATTGTTCCCATTCCCAAGACAGGTAATCCAACAGAATGTTTAAATTACAGAACAATATCATTAATATCACATGCAAGCAAAATATTGCTGAAGATCATTCAAAATCGGCTAGAACAGTACATAGATAGAGAATTGCCAGAAAAACAAACTGATGTCAGATGGATCCTGTCTGAAATCAGAGAATACCAAAAGGACGTCTATCTGTACTTTATTGACTTTCCAAAGACATTTGAATGTGTAGGTCACAGCAAATGGTGGGGAACCTTGAGCAGAATGGGAATCCCACAACACTTACTCATACTTACGAGAAATCTATACCTAGACCAAGAAGCCACTGTCCAAACAAAGCAAGGGAACACTACATGGTTTAAAAGGTGTGTGTCAGGGTTGTATCCTTTCTTCATACCTATTCAGTCTGTGCTCGGCAGATCATTTGAGAAACTGGACTACATGAGGAAGAATGTGGCCTCAGGATCAGAGGAAGACTTATCAACAAGCTGTGCTATGTAGATGGGACAACCTTGCTTGCTGAAAGTGAAGAGGACTTGAAACGCTTACTGCAGAAGATAAAGGATTACGGTCTTCAATATGGACTACGTCTCAAGATCAAGAACACAAGAATTCTTTCTACTGAGCCTATAGGCAACATCATGATAGAAGGAGAAAGGAATAAAGTGTCAATGATTTCATCTTGCGTGGATCTAGTCAGTACCATCGGTACCAGCAGTCAGGAGATCGGGAGATGGATAGCATTGGAAAAGTCTGCTGACAGGAATCTCTCCAAAGTGCTGAAGGGCAAATGTCAGTTTGAAGCCTCAAGTTCATCTGACAGAAGCCACAGCCTTCTCTATCACCTGCTATGCATCTGAGAGCTGGACAGAGAATAAGTATTACAGAAGAATCCATGAATTTGAGTTGTGGTGTTGGAGAAGAGTGCTGAGTATCCCACGGACTGCCAAAAAACCCCACATATTTCTCTTTTTTAATGGTGAGAAAAAAATTCTACTTAGAATTAGGCAGCTGGACTCAGTTTAGATGATCCCAATTTTACTGGCAACATCCAAAGCATCACAGTCAGTTGAACAAGTTGAACGTAGGCCTTCTCTGTGTCAGGCCTAATCAAGGTGTTGACCTTGGACATGTCAATGTCACAGAGCTTCTTGACTGTTTGATTTGGTGCTTGTGGGCCTTGACATCCACAAGGAACACACTTGTGTTATTTTCTATCTTCTTCATGGCTGACTCAGTGGTCAGGGGAAACTTGTTGACGGCAGAGTGGTCAAGCTTGTTTCTCCTGGGGGTGCTCTTCTGGGGGTATTTGGGCTGCCGTCGGAGTCCCAGCGTCTCAGGCCATCAGAAGGTGGGTGACGGGTGGACCTTGTCTTTTTTGTGGCTGTGGACGCCCTGCAGGACGCCTTCTTGGCCTTTAATGCCTTTGCTTTGGCTTCAGTTTTAGGAGAGGCAGGGACTCTCTTCTTTGCTGTTAGCACCATCTTCGTAGAAAGGGTCTTAACAGATATTCTTGAAGAAAGTGCAACCAGAGTGCTCCTTGGAGGCAAAGATGGTAAAGCTTTGTCATACATGTTTTGGACATGTTGCTGTTATGTGCTGTCGAGTCGCCTGCGACTCATAGTGACTCTATGTCCAAAAGCTCCGAACCCTGCTCAACCCTGTGTCAACCATATTGTCTCTGACATACTTACCCCATTACCCCACGTTGTCAGGAGAGGCTAATCCTGGGAAAGGGCATCGTGTTTGGAAAGACAAAGAAGACGACGACCGTCAACAAGATGGATCGACACAGTGACTGCGGCAGGGGCTCAGGAGGGCTGCCCTCCAGAAAGGTGTCCGTGGATGGGGCCGGGTGGGGCAGAGCTCAGATCTGTTGTTCACAGGATTGCTATGATCCTAGATTGATAGCACTGAACAACAACAATCCCTAGTGGGTAAGGAACTTTGCAGCCAACCTCAAGGCAAGAAGTTCAAGTCCACCAGCTACTCCGTGGGGGAAAGATGGGCAACGTCTCACGCATTCCACAACCACCACCCAACCTTGTACGAACGACAGCCTTTTCTGTGAACAAGAAGGATAATGTAACCGCTTTCAACTTCAACTCAGTACTGCTGGATTTGCGCCGAGTCCCAGACTTGCCTACTTCCAGTTCATTTTCTCTTCACATGATGGACTGAATCCAAGTATTTCACTGAGACTGTGCTGACCAGCAGGTCAGCGTTCGGCCAGTGTGGGCACCACAGGACACACCCCTCAGGGGCAGCCTGGGCACCTCCAGTGTTCCCTCTTCACAACTGTTAACTCACTAAGAGGTTTCCTGGAGCTCGGTGGCCTGGTGGTCAGAAGTTGTGCTGCCAACTCTAAAGTACGCAGCTTAGCGACACCAGCTGGGCGATCTTCCGTGCAATTTACAGCCTCTGAAAACCTGACAGCAGGTCAGCTATGAGTCAGTTCCAAACAACAGCACACACCGAGAGCTTTCCAATGTCACGAGTGACCACGGACACCTTTCTGGAGGGCAGCCCTCCCGAAAGGGCACTGCTGTGACGACCAAGCACCCAACAGGACGGGCACCATCGTGCAAGATGACCCCATGCCCCATGATGACGCAACAGCTAACAGGAAAGACGCCGTCCAACAGGAAGGCGGCCAGCTGAGTGCACCTGCAGATTTGCATATCCCTCCTTCTCTGACGGTAACACCACCTTTGCTCCTAAAAGTGCTGAATAAGCAGGAGTCCACCTTTCACAACAGAGGCGCATGGATAGTTATAGTATTAGAGGCAGAGCCGGGATTGTAAGTCTATCCCCATGAGGAGAAACAGCTGCAAACATCCTTCAACAGTGGAAACAGAATGTACGAAATATGACTATTGGGAAACTAGACGTTACGAAAAATGAACTGGAGCGCATGCACATCGATGTTCTAGGCATTAGTGAAATGGGGTGGACTGGCTTTGATCATTGTGAACCACAGAGTCACACAGCATACTAGGCTGGGAATAAAAAACAGAGAAGAATGGTGTTGCATTCAGAGTTAAGAAGACAATTTCAAGTTCTGTCCTGAAGCACAATGCTGTGAGTGATAGGATATTACCCATACAAGGAAGACCTGACCCATTAATATGACTATTACTCAAATATATGCACCAACAGCTGAAGTCAAAGACGAGGAAATGGAACATTTTTATAAAATTTTAGTCTGAAATAGACCAAGCATGCAACCAAGACACATGTATAGTAACTGGTGACAAGAATGGAGATGGTGCAGACAATAAAGAGGAAAGGGTAGGTGGAAAGTTGAGACTCAGTGAAAGAAGCAGGTGGGAAGAGAATTAATCCTGTAAGTTCAGTGATTTATTCATTGCAAATGCCTTTACAAAAAACAAAACAAAACAACACACATACACAATGGGTGATTTTACACTTTGATGTCACCAGACAGATTTCATAGGAATCAGATTGACCACTTCTGTGGAAGAAATCACTAGAGAAGTTCAGTATCAGTGGTCAAAAGCAGACCAGGTGCCAACTGAGGAAAAAACCATCAATTACTCATGTGCAAGTTCAAACTGAGACTGAAGAACGTGAAAACAAGTCCATAAAAACCAAAATAATGATCTTGAGCTATTCCACCTGAATGTAAAAATCTCTTGAAGAATATGTTCAAAGCATTGAACACCAGTGATAGAAGACCACATGAGCCGTGAGACCACATCACCCATAAAGAGAGTGAGAGGTCGTTACAAAGACAGAGGAGAAAGCTAAAACTAAAACGGATGCCACACGAGACCCTGGAAATTGCACTAGAGAATCAAAAAGCCAAAACAAAGAGATGTTGAAATAAAAGAGGTACACAGATTTCAAAGAACAGCTCGAGGAGATAAAGCAAAATATTATAACGGAATATGCAGAGACCTAGCATTGGAGAATAAAAAGAGAAGAACTCTCTCGGCATTCCTCAAGCTGAAAGAACTGAAAACCAAATTCAAGTCTCGAGTTTCAGTCCTTGGTGATGCTAGGGGCAAAGTCTTGAATGATGGAGGAAATATCAAAAGAAGATGGAGGGGAAAAAGAGAATCACTGGACCAGAAAGAACTGGCCGACACGGAAATATTTCAGGAAGCAGCATCTGATCAAGAGCCAATGGTGATGAAGGAAGAACTTCAAGCTGCACTGAAGACACTGGCAAAAAATAAGGCCCCAGGAATTGATGACATGTTTCAAATAACAGATGCAGCCCTGGATGTGCTCACCAGACTGTCGGATATTTGGAGGACAGCTGCCTGGCTGGCTGGCTGGAAGAGATTCATATTTGTTCCCATTCCCAAAACAGGTGATCCAACACAATGTGGGAATTATTGAACGATACCATTAGTAACACATACAAGAAAAATACTTCTGAAGATCATTCAACAATGACTACAACAGTACATGGATAGGAAACTGTCAGAAGTTCAAGCCGGATTTAGAAGAAACTGTGGTACCAGGGATTTCATTGTTGATGTCAGATGGATCTTGGCTGAAAGTAAAGAATACCTGAAGAAAGTCTATTTGTGCTTTATTGACTATGCAAAGGCGTTTGACTGTGTGGATCATAACAAGTTGTGACTGACATTGGGCAGAATGGGAATCCCAGAGCACTTGATTCTGCTCATGTGAAATCTATAGCTAGCTAGGAGGCTGTTGTGAGAATAGAGCAAGGGAACACTGTTGCTGTGTACCAAAGAGACAGAACAGACCCATAGCTGACCCTCTGGTGAGTTTTTAGAGGCAGTTAAACGCACAGGAGGGGACTGCCCACCCTTCTCCCATGTAGTAGTTGGTGGTCTTGAACCACATGCCTTCTGGATTGCACTGCAGTTTCTAGTCACTAGGCCATCAGAACTCCCTAAGGGAACACTATATGGTTTAAAATTAGGAAGAGAGGGTGTCAGGGTTGTATCCTTTCCATACTTATACAATCTGTATGCTGAGCAAATTATTTGAAAAGCTGGACTCTCTGAAGAGGAGTTTGGTATCAGGTTTGGAGGAAGACTCATCAACAACCTGTATTATGCAGATGACACAACCTGCTTGCTGAAAGTGAGGAGGACTTGAAACACTTGCCACAGAAGATCAAACACTGCAGCCTTCAAAATGGATCATATCCAATGTCTAGAAAGCAAAAACCCTCGCCACTGGACTGGTGGTGGTGGTGTTAGGTGCCACTGAGTCGAGTATGACTCATAGTGACCCTATGAACAAAAGATCGGAACCCTGTTCTAGCCTGTGTCATCCTCACACTTCCTGACACACAAGAGCCCACTGCAGCAGTCACCGTGACAACCCACCTGGTTGAGGGTCTTCCTCTCCTTTGCCGACCCTCCACCCTTCCCAACATCACATCCTTCTCCAAGGAATAGCAAATCCTAGCAATATGTACAAAGTATGTGAAGCAAAGTCTCATCATTCTTGCCTCCAAAGAGCACTCCGGCTTCACCCTCTCCAAGACATACCTATATGTTTTCTTGGCTGTCGATGGGATGTTCAGTGCTCTTCTCCAAGACCACAGCTCAGAAACATCAATTCTTTTCCTGTCTTTTTTTTCCCCTTTTCTTCATTGTCCAGCTCTCAGATGCAAAGCAAGTAATCAGAAAGTCTATAGTCTGAATTAGACGCACCTTAGTCCTCACACTGACATCACTATTCCTCAATAATTTGGAGAGGTCCCTAACTGCAGATTTTCCCAGTGCAATGCATCTCCTTATTTCCTGACTGCTGATACCACAGGTGTTAATTGTAGATCCAAGCAAGATGAAGCTGCTGAGAGTTTCAATCTCCTCTCCATCCATCGTGACACTGCCTATCGCTCCAGTGATGAGCAACCTTGTTTTCTTGACATTGAGACACAATCCGTACTGAAGGCTGCATTCCTCCATCTTCTGCAACAAGTGCTTCAAGTCCTCACTTTCAGCAAGTAGCGTTGTGTCATCTGCATAATGCATGTTATCGATGAGTCTCTCTCCAATCCTGATGCCACACTCCTCTTCATAGAGTCTAGCTTCTCGGATAATTTTCTCAGCATATAGATTGAACAGGTGTGGAGAGGGAATACATCCCTGACACACTCCCTTCCCAGTTCCAAACCATGCAGTGCTCGCCTGCTCCGTTCACAAAAGTCTCCTGGTCCAGGTATAGGTTCTGCATGAGCACAATCAGGTGCTCTGGGATTCCCATTCTTCTCAATGTCAGCCACAGTTGTCATGATCCACACAGTCAAATGCCTTTGCATAGTCACTAAAGCACAAATGGACATTCTTCTGGTATTCTTTACTTTCAGCCAGGATCTGTAATTTACTATACAGGGAATGAGAAACTGAGGAAGAAGGGTGTTGTATTCATAGTAAAAAAAACGAATTAAAAAATGAATTTCAAGTTCTATCCTGAAATACAATGTTGTGAGTGATAGGATAATATTCATACATGAATAAGGAAAACCCAGTATTTGAATATAAGCGCCTACCTCTAGAGCCAAAGAGGAAGGAATTGAGGATTTTCAACAAATCTTGCTGTACAAAATTGACCAAACATGCAGTCAAGATGCGTTAATGATAACTGGTGACTGAATGCAAAAATACGAAACAGTGAAGAAGGGACAGTAGTTGGAAAATACGGGCTTGGTGACAGAAGGGAGGCTGGAAATAGAATGAGTTGTATTTACAATGATTTACTAATTAATTGCAAATACCTTTCTTAAAAGACACAAACTATGACTTTACATGTGAATGTCACTCAATCGGCTGCACGGGTACCAGACTGACTACATTTGTGGAAGAAATCATTGGAGAAGCTTGATATTGGCAGTCGAAACTAGGCCGGGGCAGACTGTGGGTCAGATCATCAATGGCTCAAATGCAAATTCAAATGGAGGCTGAAGAAAACGAAAATAAGTGCACAGGAACTGAACTGACACACGACATAATAGCAGATGGAGAAAAGACTGAAACTGTCAATGACTTCAACTTGGATCCACACTCAATGCACTTGGTCAGGAGACCAGGAGACGTATTTGCACTAGGAAGGTCTGCAGTTGGTGACCTCTCCAAAGGACTCAGGAGCAATGATGTTCGTTCGAGGACTAAGCTTCATTTGATTCAGACCATGGTCTGTTTGATCATTTGTGATGCATCGAAAGCTGGACAATGACCAGGATGACAGACGAACGGATGCCTTCAAACTGTGGGATTGGAGAAGAGTCCTGAATATCCGTGGACTTCCAAGAGAAGGAGTAGCCAGCATGCTCCCTGGAGGCAAGGATGGTGGAGCTGTGTCTCTCACACATCGGGCATGTTACTAGGACACATTATCCCTTGGAGAGGAACATCATGCTTGGCAATGTGGAAGGACGGCGAAGGAGAGGAAGCTGACATGCTAGGTGGGTCGACACGGGCTGTAACGGGCTTGAGTGTCAGAGAGCGAGACAAGGGCACAGGATAAGATGGGCTTGGATCTGTTGTTCATACAGTCACTGCGAGTCATACGTGACTCAATGATACCTAACAACAACCTCCTTAACATTGTCTACAAGTGTCTCCTTAAAGAGAACTGTTTAAAAGGATATATGGTTAGCTATTGTTATGACAAGGGCCCAGAATGAGTGCTGCACAGTGGAGTGGACTGGGGGGGGGGAGGGAGGGCAGGTTTGTGTAAGAATTTTTCTTTTACTTTTCAAAGAGAAGAGCAAACTCGGGGGGAGGGGTGAGCAGGGAGAAAAGTGCAACAAGGAATGAATGGAAACCCTAAGTCTCTGTAAATGTTCATTAAAACTAATAATAATTTTTAAAAAAACCCAAAACAACAAAAAATCCACAAAAAAAACCCCAAAAACCAAACCAACCTTCCCTGTTAAGACAGATCTGGGAAGCGCACGCGCCCTGTGTCCTGTAAGCAAGCACCTTCCACTCTCTGCTCTAACGTCTCACTGCAAGATAGGTTTCTCTAGCAGCCGGAGGCAGAACGTATTTTCTGTCAACAGTGATCATCAAGTCTGTCACTTTGTATTTAGGGTCAAAGTTAGACAAGTCTGGCACGAATCAGCAGACCCCATGTCAGCCGAGGATGACAGCCAAGGATGGAGCCGCATGGACAGGTTCAGATCTGCTGTCCTAGGGTCACTGCTCAATAGCCCCCTAACATGTCAGCCAGCGAGAGGCAAGGGTCAAACGGGTGGCCTGGTCCCGGTCAGAACTGGAGCCGAGGAACCACGATCCTGACCTGAGCACTGTTTTAGGTACATAAGTGATGTCAAGAACCTGGACCGGAACCACCCACCACATCATCCCATGGCTCCAGACTCAAGGCCAGAAGCACCCCGATCTGTGCCAGGCCACTACAGGGAGTCACAGCACCCCTGATGAAAACGTCCTGATCTGTGCAGTGAGCGCACTCTGTGGATCAAGGCGCCCCATAAAAGCACCTCCAGTCTGTGCAGCCTGTGCTGTGGAGCGCAGTGCCCTGGTGAAGGGCCCTTCCCATTCTCTAGGGTGTGTCTTTTGCTAATAAAACCCACCTTTTCTTTTGTCCCCATCCTCCTCACCTCTCCCCTCCACCACACGCTCTAACAAAGCCTGAACCCAGGATTGTTATTGCCAAGAACACAGCCAGGCTCAGGCCTCAGTCCTTGTCTTTGGCAGCACCCCACCCTCCCCGTCTCTCACCTGGTGGAGGGCTTCCTGTCGGCCAGCCGCACATTGTCCACCAGCTCACCGTCCAGCCTGACGCTGGATAGCTCCTGGTCTGCAAGGGATTCCTCCTTAGCCACACAGGTTCCCGTCCCTCTCCCTCCCCCTCTCCATCTCGCATCCCCACTCTCCCTCCTCCCCTCTCAAGGTCACTCAGTCTAACACACGCCCATTCCTTCCCTTCATCCCTCACTCGCACCCGTCACACACAGTGTTACACACATGTTCTCCGTCCTCACAAAGTCTCCCTCACCGTCCACCACCTCCGCTCGCCCTTCCCCCTCCCGCAATGCCACTCACTCTGCCTTTCTCATCCTCTCGCTACTCTCTCCACGCCTCTCTGCCCTGCACGCTCGAGATCACTCTCTAACGCTCCCCTCTCCCTCCTCAGTCTCAGCTCTCCTCCCTCATCACTCACATTCCCTCCATCCCTCCCTCCCTCCCTCATCTCACTCTCTCCCTCATCTCACTCTCTCCCTCATCTCACTCTCTCACCCTCTCTCTCATCTTCTCACTGTCTCTCACCGTCTGTCTCTCTCACTGTCTCACCATCTCTCACTGTCTCTCACCATCTCTCTCACCGTCTCTCTCACCATCTCTCTCCATCTCTCACCATCTCTCTCACCGTCTCTCACCATCTCTCACTGTCTCTCACCATCTCTCTCACCATCTCTCACTGTCTCTCACCATCTCTCTCACCAATTCTCACTGTGTCTCTCACCATCTCACCATCTCTCTCACACTCTCTCTCACCGTCTCTCACTGTCTCACCATCTCTCATCATCTCTCACTGTGCCTCTCACCGTCTCTCACCGTCTCTC